CCCCCCCCCCCAAAAAAAATGAAAATTGGACATTGTGCATCCAAACTCAACACCAGCCCTGAGATCAGCTCAGCGAGGATGAGGAAGGGAGACTGTGGAGCAGTGGGGTGGGTGGTACACCAACAGAATCCTTGTGTTGTCCCAGGATCCCACTTTCAGATACATACATCCAAACCTGGAAAACTGGGGGATGCGACACTTGTTGAAGGAAATAGAATTAGGACAGAACACTGCAACTCCACTTTCCTTTCCCCCGGTTAGACAAAGCTGGGTGAAATTGACACCCCCAACTCTTGTCCAACCACGTCTCTGTAACGCTTGCGAGAGGAGGCTCCTCATCCAGGATCAGGTCCTGGATGGCTATTGTTTCCCTCTGTATCAACCCTATTTTGACCCCAGGGACACCAAGGCTATCCAAGCTATTTAAATTAGGGGCAAAAAAAATACCTTTCCCACATTCTCTCTCACATTATGCTGTGTCTGATGTCTCCCACCATATCTCCTCTTGCCTTGAACAATTCAAGTAGCTGGTCCTTGACTCCCTCTTTCCTTTTCCCGATCAAAACATATCCCTCCACAAGCAAACAAAGACCAAGTTAGCAACTCTTCCCCAGAGTTGGGGGGAAATATCACAAAAACCTAAAATGAGAGGGGATGATGGTGGGTTTTTGACAACTCAGTACAGATTACGTGGGTACGATTTGTTTCATTTGTAGTGGCATTACGGTAATTAGATTAATGTTATCACATTGGTGTGTGTATGTAGGCTGGGTAAGTTAGCAACTTCCTTGTTAAATAGCGAGAGTTGAAACTTTCATGATTAAAAACCAGAGCCTTGCAAGAGTTTTTGTGGCTTGGGGGCTGGTGTTTGTGGTGAACATGAACCATTTGGCTGGAACTGAGAGGCATTGGCTGCTGGTGGCAAATATGAGCCACCAAAAGATGGGTGTGGAGTGTGGACTGGCCAGCGTTCAGTGTAGAAACGTTCACACTCTCAGGCGGGGTAATGTTGGCCAAGATTGAATGAGACAATTCTAGGCATCCTGCATGTTTTTGCTCTCTGTAGGTGTATCTTAAAGAAGTTCATTAATAAATAAACAAGGTCTTATTTCCCATACTTCATTCTAATACTTGTATAGTGTGATCGGCAATAGCTGAAATTTTTGTGGATTTTTTTGTTTTTGTTGCTTTTAAATAAAGGTAAAGGTAAAGGTTCCCCTTGACAATTTTTGTCCAGTCATGTTCGACTCTAGGGAGGTGGTGCTCAACGCCGTTTCCAAGCCATAAAGCCAGCGTTTTGTCCGAAGACAATCTTCCGTGGTCATGTGGCCAGTGCGACTTAGACAGGGAACGCTGTTACCTTCCCACCAAGGTGGTCCCTATTTATCTACTTGCATTTGCATGCTTTCGAACCGCTAGGTTGGCGGGAGCTGGGACAAGCGACGGGCGCTCACTCCATCGCGTGGATTCGATCTTACAACTGCTTGGTCTTCTGACTCTGTAGCACAGGTGCTTTTAAATATTAGCTGTTTAATTGGCTTTAGTGCTAACTTATATTCTTCAGAGATAAAAATTGGTGATTTGCTTTTTTAAAAATGGCAGTTTGTTTTCTAGGGAAGTAGACAAATTAGAACAATGGTATTTTTAAGTAGTCCTAATTATCCTTATTATCCATCTGTAAAATGCAGGAGGATACGTATGTTTTCCTTTCAGTTTGAGAGGGGTGGTCATCTGTGTTCAAACATAAAGCTTGGTTCTTGTTTTTACCAGCCTTAAAAAAAGCTAACCCTTTGTTGGTTCTTAATAGCCAATTATTTGGTGGGAGATGAGTCCTTTGGAAAATATGTTAAAATTCAAGCTAGATTCAAACAGAAAAACAGCCTTGTAAATTGTTTGTTCTTGTGCATTTTCTTCTGCGAAATGTCAAAATTATGTCTGCTGCCAGTGATGTGGTTGATTACTGTGGCCTTTCCTTTGTGCATAAAGAGAAAAATAACAGGAATGTCATAGGCAAAATCCTCCCCAGCCATTTCATTTCTTTATTTTAATTTATTATCTTGCCTTTCTTTTAAAGTTGGGATTTATAGGGGTGATATTAGGACACAGTTAAGCAAACTGTAATATTTGGGCTGAACTGAGCTCATGGTCCTTACATGCAGAAGTAGGTGTTTTTTTTGTTACCCTAAGATCATCAAGGGACGTGGTGGCGCTGCGGGCTAAACCGCAAAAGCCTGTGCTGCAGGGTCAGAAGACCAGCAGTCGTAAGATCGAATCCACGCGACGGAGTGAGCACCCGTCGCCTGTCCCAGCTCCTGCTAACCTAGCAGTTCGAAAGCATGCAAATGCAAGTAGATAAATAGGGACCACCTCGGTGGGAAGGTAACAGTGTTCTGTGTCTAAGTCGCACTGGCCACGTGACCACGGAGCTCATGGTCCTTACATGCAGAAGTAGGTTTTTTTTGTTACCCTAAGATCATCATGTTGACAGTAAATATTATTAAATAATTGGGAGTCAAAAAGCCTTGCAAATCTCCCAGAGATCTACTCATAGATGCTGATCTACTTTCTCATGATCTCTGTGTTATACAATCTGGTAAGAAAGATTGTGTTCTTAAAACTGTATTATCACAAGTCATGATTATTTAACTGTCTCCTGCAAAGGTTAGATGCTTCATGAATAATTCCATCAGCTGTCTAACTTGAAACTCCTCAAGGTAAAATAATCAGCAAGTTTGATAGCACAGATAATGGGGGCATAATTACAGCAGAAGTCACTGCCTTTTAAAGGACAGAGACGTAAAGGTCAAGACAGTTCTAGAGCTGCTGGTGTCCAAAATGCAACTGTACAGTATGGCAATTACTTGGAAAAGTATAGTTCTCAGTACCCGTTGAAAACAATTTTCATAATTCTTCTTTTACAAATGGGAAAACTGATTAAACGTAATCATATTTACTGTGGTACATAATGCGGCTTATGTCTTAGGTTGCCTAGAAATTGTTAAAAAGAGATAATTAAATGTTGGATCTCAATTCACTATTATGTTATTTGTTTATTTCTTGAAGTCCCCTGTGCTGTCTTTCAGCGTGGGAGCTAGTTAGGAGACTAACAACGAGCTGTAAACCTAAAATTAAAGCAGGAGGCAGTCATAAAAGAAGGATCAAGAAGAATAAAAAAGAATTTTGGGGGGAAGAATAAACAAGCTCAAAGCTTAAATTGTGATGCCTAAAGGTTAACAAAGTACACTTCAACAGAGTTTTCCTTCAAAAAATGTTCCAGATTAGGTGGCAACACCGACGACGCATAATCTGTGATTGCTTTAACCTCCAGGGTTGATCTAAAATATTTTGCGACTCAAGACAGAAACAAATGGCGCCTCTTCTCAGCTATGGTACACAGTGGCTGGAAGCCTATTGTGTGACAAGCAGGGCCATAAGTTTCAGCTCATTCCTCGCTGGCGCTCACACAGACACCGACACACACAGACACAGCATGCATAAACATATGCCCCCAAGACTGCTTACTTTACACAACAGGATTTTGGCCAGTTACAGTGGTACCTCGCTAGACAATGGCCTCGTAAAACGATGAATCTGCATGACGACGAGGTTTTGCAATTGCTATAGTGATTCGCAAAACAGTGATTTCAATGGGGGATTTTCACTGGACAATGATTTGGTCTGTGCTTTGTGAACCGTTTGTTCGCAAGATGATTTTTACAGCTGATCAGTGGCTTCGCAAAATGGCTTCCCTGTGTTTTCGGGACCCGTGCTTCGCAGGATAGCCGTTTTAACAGCTGATCGGCGCTCGCAAAATGGCTTCCCTATGGGCCATCTTTGCAGGATGACGTATTTTGCATGACGATGATTTCGCTAAATAGCGATTTCTATGGAACAGATTTTCAGCGTCATGCAGTGCACCACTGTATTAAATCTCACCAAATTATTTTGTCACAGGTGCTTAAATGTGGACAGATTATTCATTCCTTTTGAGTAGAAAGCTGTGGTAAAAAGGTTTTAATTAAAAATAAATAAATATTTTTGGCGAAGCACCTTTCCCTCTCTTGCTAGCATTAAATGTACAATAAAAATAAATTCAGTAGTTAACAATTTAACACTTTTCATAGCACACCAAATCTGCTGAAGGAAGCAGCCCACCTAATGAGAGACATTTTGCAAAAAATGATTTTTAATAAAGATACATTGACTTGGTCCTGTCCCAGAGATGAGTTCCTGGAGGGGTTTGAGAATGGTTGGCAGACTGCCATATTGGCATAGTGAATCAACAGTGTTGGTGGAAAGGCGGCATATAGCATCATCCCCTTAAGTCTTCACACTCTTGAGTGTCGGCTAAAACTGAGGGCAGGCAATCCTAGACAGAAGGAATACAAATAGTTGGCTGCATGCCCTCCCTCCACTTTTTATTTAAATAAGGTAGATTAGTTGGGCTTGGAGGGAACTCAGCTGTGATCTTCTCACTTTTCATTCTGACAGAACCAGACTAAAAGTGGGCACCCTCTCCCTTAGGCAGCTAAGACCCTAATCTGGTTTTAGGCAAGAGGTACTGATATCCCTGATGCAAATACTCTTTCCAACTTGGCATCTGAAGAAAAATTTCATTTCTCGTATGCACATTTTAATTAATTAATCAACACACTATTCCCCTAAAGATTTCTTTAGTCAGGTAACAATCCTTGATCTGACATATCAAGTTAGAAAGTTATGCCAGTTACTCTCCCTTCCCCCTAGCACTGGGACTGTTTATGAGAAGAGATATTCAGGGACTTTAGGGTCAGTTGCCCAAGACGTTTCTCTTTCTCCTCTTTCCTTTATTCCTTTGTCTAGGTGACTTCTGCACATCAAATACACTGTACGACTATCTTTTTGCGATCGCAATTGCGATCGCAAAACAATGGTCTAAATAGGGTCTTTTCGCTTTGCGATGATCGGTTCCCTGCTTCGGGAACCGATTCTTAGCAAAATGATGTTTTTTAAAACAGCTGATTGCCGGTTTCAAAATGGCCACCGGGTGCTTAAAATGGCTCCCCACTGTGTTTAGGGACGGATTCCTCCCTATGCAGGCAGCGTAAATGGCCGCCACATGGAGGATCTTCGCTGGACGGTGAGTTTTTACCCCATTGGAACGCACTGAATGAGTTTCAATGTGTTTCAATGGGGCTTTTAATTTCATTTTACGATGTTTTCGCTTAATGATGATTTTCCTGGAACGGATTATCGTCATTAAGTGAGGCACCACTGTAGATGGGAAGATAGTGCCTTGTCTACAGAAACCAGCTGGATCAACGGCAGCATCTTGTTTAAACATCAACAAAGGGATAAGCTCCTTAACAACGTTTGGAATCAGCAGGCTAGTTTTGAGCAATGGTTCCCAACGCTGGGTCCCCAGATTTTGGACTACAGCTCTCAGAAACCTTCACCACAGCTGTGCTAGCCAGGATTTCTGGGAGATGTTGTCCAAGAACATCTGGGGATCCAAAGTTGGGAAACCCTTGTTTAGATGATGCTTCATGACAAGCCGATGGCATCTGAAAACGGAAGGCAACAGCTGGAGGTGAACACCAAAGCTGCCTTGTAGCCCTGAGCCTCCAGAGGCAACCACCTCGCTCTGCCTTCAGTTAGGGCCAGCCCTGCTGGTAAACTACACAGTATACGTAGGTCATACGAGACTGCAGATCGCCCACCCTGAACTGGAAGATGATGGTTGGTCTGTGGGCACTTTGTGAACTTTGCAATGGGGATGGATACCCCGTTTCCCCAAAGCTACTTACTCCTATTTACCCAGGGACTTGCCCGAATGTCTCTGAGTTGAGGGTTCTGATAACGGGATGAGTACATGGTGAATACTCTATTCCATTTTTGCTATAGTTTCAAGAGAATGAGGCAATAAATTTATCAAAATGCAGTGTTATTTTGTATGACCATATTTCTTATTCTGTATTGTACAGTCGTGGTCCACTTAACGATTACCCCGTATTATGACGAATCCGTTTCACGATTGCAAAACGATGTTTTAATGGGTTTTTTTGCTTTGCTACGATCGGTTCCCTGCTTCAGGAACCTGTTCTTCGCATTACGACGATCAAAACACTGATCGGCGGGTTTTCAAAATGGCCGCCGGCTACTCAAAATGGCTCCCCGCTGTTTTTAGGAGGCATTTTTCGCTTAACAGGCACCCAAAAATGGCCGCCGTATGGAGGATCTTCGCTGGACGAGCTGGTATTCAGCCCATTGGAACGCATTGAATGGTTTTCAATGCATTTCAGTGGGCTTTTTTATTTCGCTTGACGACGTTTTCACTATACAGCGATTTCGCTGGAACGAATTACCATAGTGAAGTGAGGCACCACTTTATATAATATAAAATCTTCATATCCTTTGTTTTGTATGTTCCGAGTAGCACTTTTGGGCAGCTTGTTAAATAACATTTCCCACCAGTAGTGTCCAATTTTTGGCTTAATTTCTTCGTACATTTGTGCTGTAGATAGAAAGAGAACTTTGTGTTTTAAATATGTGCTTTTTATTTTATTTTAACACAGATCAAATCGAGCTCTTATCAATGTCTGGATTCCTTCAGTTTTTCTCCGTGGAAAAGCAGCAAATGCATTTCATGTTTACCAGGTAAGTGTTAGGACTTGAAAACGTTAAGTGGTTTCCAATAAGCACTTGAATTGCTCATATCTAGAGTATCTCAGATAATTCAGAAGTCAAAGTTCAGACATTGCTTTAATTTACAAGTGCCTACGTATGAGGGCATTTAGCTCCCCGTTTGTTCTGCTGTAAGGACGGACTCTCCGTTCCTAAAGATAGCGATCCTACGACATCTTTGCTGGAGCAAACCAGCCCACACTCCGAGTGTTCCTATCCCCACTTTTCTGGCACTTGTCAGGGGCTTCTACTTTTTAAATGCATCTTTAAGAGAGAGAAAAAATCCTGCTTATTGGCTCCTCCTGTCTCTTCCCACTTCTGGGCATCTGCCATTTATCTATGCAGTGCATATGTGCTGCCCAAATTATTTTTCAATTCTGTGGCCCCTCCATGAGCCAAGGAAGAGTTTAATTTGCCAATACAGTGGTGCCCCGCATGACAACGATAATCCGTTCCAGCAAAATCGCTGTACAGCGAAATCCTTGTCATGCGGGGGGGGAAAGCCATTGGAATGCATTGAAAACTGGTCAGTGCGTTCCAATGGGGGAAATAACTGATCGTCCTGCGAAGATCCTCCATAGGGGTCTGTTTTCCGATCTCTATCTTGCGAAAATAGGTCAGCAAAACAGCAGGGAGCCATTTTGCGAACCGCCGATCAGCTGTTTTTGCTTTCATGGAAAGGAAAAAGGAGGAGGTAGAGCATGGACAGGGCACAAGGCCATGCAGGCACAGAATGCCTCCAGCCATTCCTTGCTTGCCTTTCTGGACCGTTCTGAGTTAGGTGGAAACCGAACTTTCTATCCGGCCTCGCTCCCAGAGAGCAGGGGAAACTCCACATCCTGCGTCAGGCTGGGTGAAAGAGTTCAGGGCAGGAGACTGTTGGGCTCCCTGCCTGAGGATGGGAAATGACCCAGCCCTGAGCAAGCGAGGCGGGCTTGCTGCCTCCCCCTCCTGCCTCTTCCTACTTCCCTTCAATGCTGGCAAGCAAGCGAGCAAGTTGAGTGAGCAAAAGGCTAGTTTTTCATCTCCGAAGTTTGTTGCCACTGCCTGGGATGGCATGTTTTTTAAATGATTCTTTCACTGTCCCTGCTGGCTTGACTGCCTGCCTGCTTCCGCCACTGCCGCCTCTTCGTGGGTTCCCTTTGACCACCGTTTGCCTTCTCCCACACGGCTTAAACTTTGGGACTTGGGGTGGGACGCCATGGGTCGGCAGCCAGAGTCAGAAGGAGGACAGAAGAGGAGACTGAGGCAGCTCCTCTTTGCCCGTCGTGAGGTGGACCCCTTTCCTCACAGGGCGATGGAGTGGCGTGTCGTGGGGTTGTGTCAGGGACTGGCGGGAGAGAGAAAGAAACCCGTCCGCGGGAGACTGACAGGGAGTGAGGGCATCTGGGGGGTACAGCCGCTCCACTCACTCCTCTCCCACCCCGCCCCGATCAGCTCTGCAGAGTGGGCTGGCAACACCGGTCGCCCCGGCTGGTGGAAAATAGGCCAGGTGGAGGGATGCAATGACTTCTTCCTGCTGCCGATCACCTTTGCAGGAACAGCCCCCCCCACGCCGAAGGTGTGTGTGTGTGTGTGTGTGTTTGTGTGTGTGTGTGTGTGTGTGTGTGACGATCAGGGACCTGATCGTCGTACAATGAAAAAGCCCCATTTGAACCATCATTTTGCAATAGCTATAGCGATCGCAAAAAAGTTACCATAAAGCGATTTCGTCGTCAAGCAGGACAGTCGTAATGCGGGGCACCACTGTATCTGGAAGTGGCTCTCTTCTTAAGCTACTTCACGATACTGGCAAATTGACAATGGGCAGGTGAGGAACAAATAGGGGGGGCTTGAGGTCCGTATGTCATTTGGAAGATCAACGGAGGGCATCCTGGATCTCCTAGTGATCCTACTTGGCCCGCAGCAGCCTTCTCCAGCCAAGCTGTGTCGCCAAGCCCTATGTTATAATCACATGAAGGGATGGAGCTGAAATGACTGCTCCTCTGTTTTAAGTGACTTTCGACCAATAACACTCTTTCATTGAGAGTTGCTGGAGAATTTTGCTTGATTCTCAACTTTAGGCAAATGAACATAATTCACATTTCCTGGGCTTATACCTGGACCATAACACAATTATAGACAGGTTGTAGCTGAGGTTTAATCCCAAGTTTTTCCAAGTAGACCTCGTTAAGTCTCATGGAGGAGCCTCTGCTGTTTGGCATTGATGGACTAAAGCAGCAGTCCCCGATCTTTTTGGGACCGCGGACTGGTTGGGAAAGGCGGGCTCTGTGCGTGGGGGGATGGGGGCACCCCTGCGTGAGCACGGCACCCCCTGCATGAGTGTGACACACTCCCTGTGAGTGTGGCATGCCCCCGTGAGCGCAACAGGCTCCCTGTGCGAGCGCGACACATCCACCATGTGTGCGGGTGGGGGGCCCGAGATCTGTCTCCACGGCCCAGTGCTGGGAAGCCCCACGGACCAGCGCCAGGTTGGGGACCTCTGGACTAAAGAACTGCAAAGCAAACTTTTGCATATTCATTTATCAGTTCTCAGAATTTTATGGTTTGGTCCTCAGTTCAAACCTGTCTCAGATACATATATATCAAGAAACAATCTGTCCAGAAATGCATTTATTGAAGAAATATATGTACTGTATATTAGGGAAAGATGTGCATAAAATTAATATGTGAACAGTTCCATATGAACATGGGTGCAAATTTTCAGGTCTGTGTTTTGAAATGGCAGAATGCTACACAAATTTGATACAATAAACTTATGACCAATACTCACTAGGTGTAGACTTAATAAAATAATTAATAGATTGATTCACGTGTTCCAATACAATGGGATAAAAAGGGTGCAAACCAATATTTAAAAATAGCTGCATTGAATAAAAATTTCCCATTTAAAGGAGCACTTTATAGAATGTTATCTATACCTAAAGTACTGTATTTTAATCGTTATATTGCTTTTCATTAAAAAAACAAACCCCATAGTTAGTACTATTAATATAACAGTTCCTTTTGGAAAACACCAGGGAGCAATTTGGAATGTATACGGTTCTTTGCCTCCCACGCATTGCAAGAGGGACTTATTTTTAGATTCTTCTCAGTGAATAATTATGGTTATGGAAATCAGAAGTGAAGAGAGTCCAGGATTTTCACACATAGAAACTTTCCTTTTGTTCTTGAATTTCTAAGCAAATCAGATGCCTGAGCTCTATGGGACGATTCTGCTTAGACAGAAATTATAATAAAGATAGTTTCAGCTGCAGGAAGATTGTGAAGCAGATAATGGCACTGTGCCCAGCTGGGTTATATAATGATGACCATAACTAACCAAGAAAACAAAAATAGATGATTTATACACCTCATCCATCACCTCAGCTCATACGGATTGAAAGACCTCAGATATTCTGCTTCGAAGACTTCAGATATCCTGGCTCCGAGGGGCCAAACTAGTAGTTATTTCAAAGCTTGGAAATGAATTAGAAGCGAGTCCGTAATTGCAGAACTGATGATGTATGGACATAAAATGTATATCAGTCAAGAAGAATTGCTATTTATTTAAACTAAAAGGTCAAGGCTGTAATGGAATGAAGCTAAGGTGAGAGGCAATGTGGTGCAGTAGTTACACTCGTGAACACAGACCCAGGAGACCTGGGTTTAAATACTCAGCCATGAAACTCAGTCACTGTCTCTCAATTAGTGGTTTTTTTCAGAGTTCAGAAGTAAGCAGATACAAATAACCAGGTGGTATGTATTTGAAGTTCTCTTGATTCCAGTATTGCTCCTGGAAACTAGGTAGCTACTGTGGTCAGGATTGCCATTGTCTTATTTTGGTGACCGCATATGTCCCTTCCGAGGAAGCATGGCTTTGGCCACAGTGATTTAGGCCTTAATTAGCTTATTTCTGGTTGGACTATAGTGACATGCTATACATGGAACTGTTCTTGCAAAACATTTGGAGGCTACAGCTGGTGAAAAACGCAGTGGTCATACTGTCATCTCATGTACACCTTAGAGACCATATAATACTGGTCTGGACTCAGCTGCACTGCCTTCTAAGTTGTTTCAGATCTCAATTTAAACAAACATTATTAGAACGGTATTCGTACGTCGAAACGTTCGTAAGTCGAAGCAAAATTTCCCATTGGAATGCATTGAAAACCGATTACTCCGTTCTGGCTGTTTTTTGTCCTTATGTCGAGGCGCCATTCGTACGTTCAGCATGTTTATTAGTTCGCATAGGAACTAATGCAGAGCCGGTTAATCCATACTCTGCTCTACTTCTGCTAATGCAGCCAAAGTAACATTTGCCATTTTACAGCCACTGTTGGCTTATATTCGGCTTGTGATCTACAACAATTCAAAGTTTCTTTGCACTTGTAGCATTACTGAGCCAAGGATCCACCATCTTGTAACTGTACGTTTGGGGAGCTTTGTGGTGCTCCACTTGTTATCTCTTCGAACTTTGAGAAGGAGCCACAGGTAAGTACTCTCTGAATACAATTTTGTAACCAGCTGTCTATCCACCTGACACTTATCTATCCATCCCACACCTAGTTAGCTTGGTAATCAGGATATCATGGGGAATGTTGTCAAAGGCTTTGATGAAGTCAAAATATATCAACAGCAGCGGTTCTCAAATTGGGCTATGTGTAACCCCAAGAGTATGAACCAGGATATTTGGAGGTACATGAAATAATCTCATAATGGCAGAGAAAAGCATAAGGTAAATCGTGTTGTTAGTTTGTGGAACTCCTTGCCACAAGATGTGGTGATGGCATCTGGGCTTGATGCCTTTAAAAGGGGATTGGACAGATTTCTGGAGGAAAAGTCCATTGCAGGTTACAAGACAGGATTGGGATGTATAATCTCCAGGTTTAAAAGGAAGGTACCTCAAAATACCAGATGCAAGGGAAGGGGCATCAGGAGACCAGTATCTAGTCAGTATCTATCATGTGTCAACTAGATATTGGTCTGGACTA